CTGTGATAATTGTGGTTATTGCCGCCGCTCTTACCCCACATACATGCATACAACCAAATAATAATTATTATTATTATTATTGTTAAAACGACTTCTTTCTGTTTGTGCTTGTGTTTTGGTTTGGCTCCCTCCCCCACACTCCGCCCGATTTTGCGGCTGTGTAGGTGCTGGCGATAAGATAGAAGTGTTCTAGGTGTACTTCTAGGTGACTCGGGGCCCGAGAACTCAAATTTGTTCGACTGCCTTAACATGGGACGCGTGTTTCGGGGCGAAAAACAAAAACCTTGGATTTTTTGCTTTCGCTCACATTTTTGCAATCGAAATTGTTGATAAACGGCTGCAGGAAGAGGGTCAGATATCGCGGTGGCAATGCGATTGCTTGCAAAAATATTGGAAATCGAAGTTTGCAGATATTTCACTCACTTTAAACAGAAACATTTTATCTGCAAAGCATTTTTCATTTGCTTTCGTGCATTTACCACGAGCTCGATATTCACAAAATGTGCGTATTAGTTTTGGGTGATACGGCTGCTTTTTGATAATGCAATAATAATTGAATAAATATAAAAGTACACTCGGTCTACAGAAGTTAAATGTGCCAATAAATGTTAATAAGAAATAAGGTAGCCTGAATTGAAGTTTAGATTGCATGACAAGGACAATTAACTTTCTCAACTTGTCAGTTTTAGATAGGCTTTTCTTCAGAGTCAATCGTATATTTCCTCTCCGCAAAGCTGTATAGATGTATGGGGCTGTATGGGGCTATCCCCATCCTTGTATCTTTGTATGTAATTCACAGTTCTAAACTCGATTTCCGTCCGCCCTCGAACTCCACAGAAAGTTCCGCCTCATTGGCAGTACGAAATGACTCGTTTTCATCGCGTCTTACAGCGCGCGCGTGTCTTTAATTAAGTCAAGATTTATAACCAGGCTCCCAAGAATGCGTTAACTGCGGCACATCAACAACAATAACAAAAGTCGGGTACATTGACGGATCTGCGGCTGATGACAAGTGGAAGTGAGCTGCGACCAAGGAAGTCAAGACAGCCCGAAAGTCGCAGAGCTAATGAATTAAGAAAAATGAACAAATATATCTAGAACAGTCACAGGTCAGGCAAACGTACGTATAAACCCTCTGAATGGTTATTATATGAAATGGGTGCGATAAATTAGGAGTTTTTAAAACTTGAAATTTGGCCGTTCGGTTGCCATAAAAACGGAATTTATGAAAGGTCTCTCCTCCGCGATCTCTGTCGCTCTAATTGTGACTGTAAGCTCCAGAAGGTGAGAGATTGCATTCAGATCGGTTCATCTCATTGCGATCGCAACTGGTTTTAAATCGGTACGGGGTTCATTCCTCCAAAATACGGAAAAGTTTAACATTTGCATAAATTTGGCCGCAACAAATGCTAATTGAGCGCAATCAAGGCGAGCAACAAGTTTTCGCCTTTTTAATGCCTGCTCATCGGAGAAAAAGCCGCAAAGCGTGATTCACTAAATCAAATCGATAATGTAAAATCCCCGCCTTTGTTGGTCCAAACAATTAGGGAAAGCGCAAAGTTGCTAAGCAGAAGGCTTCCCTCCGTCCGGTTCAATTCAGAAACTGTGGGACTGAGAAAGTGAGGAACTGAAAATTCTTGAGATTTGTTCTTGGCCATTTGCCTAATGACGCCGCCGCAGTCTTTGGGCCAATTAAATGGAGAAGCTGGCAAACGTGTGGCGGCAGTTTGCTTCGTTTTAATTGCCCGGCCACAAGACAAATGTCTTGACACACATCCTCCCATGGAACCGACTCGGCACATCCTTCCTTCCTTCCATTCGTCCTGCTGGCATCCTGCTCAAGTGCCGCCTTTGCCGTTGACCCAGTGAAATGCAGCAGCCACAAATGGTAGATTGTTGCAATGAAAACCGTGTTAAGTTTCTTTTGGTCCCCGGGCCACGAATTCCGCACATCCTTTGTCTTCTCGCCACATTCCGTTGCGGTGATTAGTGCAGCCTTCCTACCCCATTTCTCTCAACTTTTTAGCCGCAATTAGTCAAATATTTCTGCTGCCATTCCTGATTGTTTTCGCAGAGGCACACACTTGCACCACTTGAAGTGCCGCTTGACTGAAGAAACACCATCGTGTGCCCATTACTATGTTACCATTACTGTGTGTTCCCCGCGAATGACGTGGCCAATTGATTTGTAAAGAGTTTTCGGCAACTTGAAGTTCTTGCGAGATTAGATACTAGTTCAGCTGTTGCTCCTACTGGCCACGCGAAATGCAGATTTCCGATGAAACGATCAGTAGGATAAGTATGATTGATGATGGTGGCACGTAGACTCCACTGACGATTGCCTATTACCTATTAGAAGTCAAACTATACGTTGCATTACTTACTGTGCAAGCTTTGCATATATGATTTATTCCTTTTTTAACTTTGTGCCTGACTGGAAAAACTCCCTAATGTCTTGGATACTTAGATTGAAGATAGCAACTTACCGAAAAACTGCGAACGCCACTATACTCGTGTATTGCTGTTTACTCACACTGCAGTATGGCAAATAAATAGAATTTGCTTTCAATATCTATAAATATTCTGCCTGTTTAAGTGACGTCGTTCTAACTACACTCTGGTGACGTTTAAAAAAACCCACGTTTGTCTGCTTTTCAGCAGTATCCAAAACAGCGGGAGTTTAATTCAATTGCAGACGCTGATAAGTATGCTACATAACAGGACAAATGCGTAATTTGAGCACTTGATATCCTGCTGCTGGCTGCCACATGGCCTTGTGCTTGCCACCACCCCCCTTTTCAGACCCTTTCCTTTGCAATTGTTGCAATGACTCTCAGAGTCTCCAGACAGACACACAGACACACTCAGTGGCATGTGGCCAACAATTGACTCACTTGCGGTGCGATAAGTTCGCAGCTCTTGTTGGCGACCTTAATTATTCATCTCCTGAATTGACGCACTTACTGCACAAGTTGGACCTTTACTACTCATCTCAAACTAAGCAGCCGCTGCAGCGGAACACATAATGCCACTCAAATGGTGACTAAAACATGAATTACTGCCGGTTGCTCCATCGCAAGCCTATTCCGAGCTAATCCCCTGAACGGCAGTCACAAAATGGTGAGTGGCACATCCTAAGCGGATTAGGTGTCCTTTAATTAAGGCCCAAGTGCTTATCCCGAATACAAACAGCAGCAAACAAAGGCCGCAATTTGTTTTGCTGGATAGAATTTTCGAAAATCTAATATTGATTACTAAACGGATAATTATTGATTGGTGTTCAAATGGGGGATGATGATATATGTATGGCACGCCACTGCGTATACTTAATACCCTATCTTTTACATCCATTTGAAGCCACACTTGTCCGTGGTCATGCCATTAAATCTCTGAAAGAAAGTCATCGAGCGGCTTTATTCACTGCGCGTTGTCTTCGACTTGGGTTGCTATCGAATCCAATGGTAGCGTCATCAATATCATTATCGATTCATGCCTGCTTCCATTTCGTTTCCTTTCCATATCAATAATGAATGTTCAAGTCACCGAATACAAAACTCACGCATAATCATGGCAGGTCGCCCCAATAAAAGAAAGGGAAATGGGAAAAAAGCTGGGAAAATGTATCGAATTTGTTGAGTGTGTCCTCGCTTCTGCAAGAGTGTGGGTGTGAGTGTGAGTGTGTTTGCTGGCTGTCACACATATTCGTCAAGGCTAAGACCCCACACCCCGCACCCCGCTACGTCCTGCCACAACCCATTTCGCCCGCCCACCCACATGCCACCCACCCTCATCCCGCTGGCTCAGCTGAAAGCTGAAGCATATTGCGTAGGTCGCTGCGTGAGTCGGCGAAAAGCGAGCGGGGAAAGCGGATTGGAAGGGAAGCGGAAGGGAATGGAATGGAAAGAAAAGCGTTGCCAAGGCACTTGTTGTTTTTGGCCCCGGTCCTGGCCTGGCCAGAGGAAAAACGACAGGCGAGGACTGAAATTTATCCGCCTCGATTTCCCTCTTTTTCTTCCTCTGGCACGGAGAATAAAATATGTTTCCTTGTCGAAATACTCTACTTCACTGGGGGACATCATTCATAAATGTTAGGTTCCATATATATAATTGGAATGCTGTGGAACCCAAATTATAGTTAGCATTTGGATCTCAAGGAAGTGGAGAAATATCTGAAATATTTGCATCATTTCATTAGCTCTAAAATCAAACAATTACGAGTATATAAATAGATCTTAAAGCCTCGTGCCTATTTGTGTACCTGCGATAGCAATCATTTCTCTGCGATTGTGCAGCCCAGTTTATCTGAGTGATTGAATGGCCCGACTCAAAGGAGCAGTGAGGGGTCCTGCGTGTGCTCTTGCTGGCTCGCGTTTGCCAGCCACGTGCCGATGCCGCAGAGGAAAAATGCTGAAAAGCACGGGAAAGTGGGAAAAGTGGGGAAAGATATAGAGACCCAGCTTCCGCCGGTGCTCTTGAGTGTTCTCGTTGCCCCCGGGCAAGAGGAATAACGGGATCTGGAGTGCCGCTTCCGTTTCCGCTTTTAAACTGCTTGCGATGTTAACTTGTTGGCACATCCTTATTGATTAGGTGCGTGTGTGGCGAGCGCTGGCAGGACATCAAAGGGATAGATCTAGGGTCCAGAGCCTTCGGCGGAGGGACAACGCGAACTTAATCATGCGTGGGGTCAGTCGCCATCAATTAACTGAAGCCCAGCTCATGAAATAGGTCACCGTGGGCGACATACAAGTATACCACATATGCGACACAAGTTGCTCTTCATCTTCATTAGCGGTGCATTGAACTTTCAGCGCCAGTGGAGCGACAATGGAGCAAGTTGACCGCAAATCCTTTCCCCGTCCATCTGGAAAAGCCTTTTGAAGTCGCCAGCTAAGTGGGTTAAATTGTCAGCCATGGGGTTAACTACTCCCGCACTCCCACTCCAACCCTTTAAGCCAGTCAATCACTTATCGTTTCCCTCCTCCTAATCTGTCTCTTTTCAGTTACCTGAGGACAATTTATACGGAACACACAATTATATAAAATTATATACACACCTATATACAAGTAGAATTTGCCGTTTTAACAAGCCGTCCACTTAAAAAACAAGCATAAAGGATTATATATAGACAACCTATATAAATATGCACCACGTCTGCCACGTCAGGAAGAGCCACAGCAATCCGCAGGGCAGCAACTAACGGAGTTCTCCCGCCAGCTGCCGGAAATCCAGTAGCAAATCCAGCAAAACTAGCGACCAAGCCAGCAGGAATCAGCCAGCCGAGGACAAGGACACCGCCATTTCCGTTTCCATTGCAGGATAATAGGAAATCTGTTGCCATGGGCCGCAAAAAAATTCAAATATCACGCATCACCGATGAACGCAATCGGCAGGTGAGTGTCACCATGTGTTTGCCAATCCGTAGCAATAATAATACAAATTCACTGAACATCTCTTGTTTGCCATACTCGAAACACAGGCTTCAAATTTGCCATGGCAATGAAACTTAATTAAGACAGGTGAATTGATTCATGGCTTTTACATTGAAATCAATGCTCAGTCGAGATAGCGTTTCATCATTAAAATATAACAATGGGTTTTCAGTGAATTAGTTTGTTGGATTAGAGAGGAGGAATTGATATCTGATTAACGAGTATGCTAGTGGAAATATGTTTGTTTAATTGTTAAATCTTTAAAGAATAATATCCCATACAAGGAAAGCATATATACCACGAGTAACTCAGTAGCTATATCAACTATAACAAATAAGGGAAGACATTTGAAAGTACTTTTGCCTCCTTAGCACGGATATAATTTTCTTGTGCCGTGCCCATTTTTAAACTGTCGAGCGTGTGCCGTGTCATCGCAAGGTTTTTCCACCGGCTTTCTCTTCCTTTCTGGCTGAGGCTACGTCTTGGCCAAGCCATAAACGCGTCATCGCCGAGCAGTGAAAAAAAAATATAAAAAGCAAAAAAAAAAAACAGAACAAATGGAACAGTAACAACTTGTTTATGGTGCTGCCCCTTTGGCCTTGACTCGGCCATAATCGATTCATTACCAACTAGGCAGCTAGGAAACGAACAAGGACCTGGGCCCCTGGGCCACTTTCCCGCTTTCCCACTTGGCCGCGGCCACTTTGGCTAAGGCCATGCCTCTAATTACATTTTCGAACCGCATAAATATTTGAGCATGAGCAGTAATTGAACGCACTTCCGTTTCCGGTGCTCTTCCCGCCCCTTCCCAGGTGACCTTCAACAAGCGCAAGTTCGGCGTGATGAAGAAGGCCTACGAGCTGTCCGTGCTCTGCGACTGCGAGATCGCCCTGATCATCTTCTCGTCGAGCAACAAGCTGTACCAGTACGCCAGCACCGACATGGATCGCGTCTTGCTCAAGTACACCGAGTACAACGAGCCCCACGAGTCCCTCACCAACAAGAACATCATCGAGGTAAGTGGAAGGGGGTGAACATATTTGGGTGGAAAATCGGGGGAGGGCGCCTCGCAAGGGAGCGCCATTATGCAAATTCGAGTGAGCCGTGAAAAGCACAGCAGAACAGCAGAACAGCAGTAGCAGGGGCACACAAATGAACTGCTGACAAGACCCGAAAGTACCCTGTAGTTCTGTTAAAAAATCTATATTATAATCAGAAGCGAACTACAAACTAGCTCATAGCTACGATAGTGCTGAGAGTAAGTAAATAAGTAAGTAGGCCAAGATGTTGATCATAGAAAGGATATGTGATATGTTACTATGAAAAAAAGACATGCCACAGATCACCTTAAAGTATCAATCCGAATCTGTGCATGCCTAATCCGATATCTCTCATTAAATTCATACCTGCGGAAGTGCTGCAGTCCTTCGAGCAAACTCGTATCGCCTTTAGCAAGGATTAAGGCAATATCCTGGGGCGACGGGGGGAGAGAGGGAGAGAGAGGGGAAAGGTGGGGCAAATCCGGCGGAGAAGGCGCGGAAATGTCGCCAAAGTATTTTGCATTTCTAATGCGACGTCGTCGTCTCGGTTTCATCGTTCCTCCGTTCCGCCGTTGTTGCTGTCCGCGCGTAAATGGTTTTGTAATGTTAATGCTGCAGGGGAGCTGCGGAGGAGAGATCAGGACGAGATTTGCATTTACATAATTTAGCACAACAAAGCGTCAAGTGAAACGGGAGTAGAGCCTCGGGCAATTATCACGTCACTCGTTGGATTTCGATTTCAAATATCGCCGTTCATTTTCGCTTTGCAGAAGGAGAACAAGAACGGCGTTATGTCGCCGGACTCGCCCGAAGCCGAAACGGACTACACACTCACTCCGCGAACGGAGGCCAAGTACAACAAGATCGACGAGGAGTTCCAGAACATGATGCAGCGCAACCAGATGGCCATCGGCGGAGCGGGCGCAACACGCCAGCTGCCAAACAGCAGCTACACGCTGCCCGTTTCCGTTCCGGTGCCGGGATCCTACGGCGACAACCTGCTGCAGGCCAGTCCACAGATGTCCCACACCAACATCAGCCCCCGTCCATCGAGTTCGGAGACGGATTCAGGTGGGATGTCCCTGATAAGTTAGTACAGTGTCTCGCGCCGGCTGCACACACATTTCTATCTATCTATCTTTGTTGGTTCTGTTCCTGGATTCGTTGCCTTCGTTGCTCTCTAATTTGATCTGATTTGATCTGACATGATTTGCATGCTTGCTCGAAACTCTAATACTCTAACCTTTAACCGCGTTTTTTTTGTTCGTTTTTAGTTATGTTTCTGATATTTAATTTCTGGTTTTCCTAACCCACTCACCGCCATCTAACCGAATTGCGTGCGAAGTTCTGTATACCATATATACCATATATATTGCGATAGCAATCCGGTCTAAACGTGTGTTTGCATACTCTTGTCTTTTCTTTGGCTCATCAGTCTATCCATCGGGTTCCATGCTGGAGATGTCGAACGGCTATCCGCATTCACACTCGCCGCTTGTGGGATCACCGAGTCCGGGTCCCAGTCCTGGCATAGGTGGGCATAAACATTACTCCTCCTCCTTCCACATCTAATCCACACCACCTGACTCACTCCATCATCGTCCCAATCTGTGGCAATGGCACCCAACACCCAACTAACCGCGATCTCCTTGCAGCCCACCACTTGTCCATTAAGCAGCAATCGCCGGGCAGCCAGAACGGACGAGCTTCCAATCTAAGGGTTGTCATACCGCCAACCATTGCCCCCATACCGCCCAATATGTCAGCGCCGGATGACGGGGGATATGCAGATGTAAGTGCCCCACACATATAGTCTCCCTAATTGGGTTTTATTCTTATCCTGGCCTAATCTCCTAATCTCTGTGTAATCCTAGCAACGACAGAGTCAGACATCGCTAAACACGCCAGTGGTCACGCTGCAGACGCCGATTCCCGCCCTCACGAGCTATTCCTTCGGGGCGCAGGACTTCTCCTCCTCGGGCGTAATGAACAGCGCAGATATCATGAGCCTCAACACCTGGCATCAGGGCCTGGTGCCGCACTCTAGGTGAGCATTCCGAGCATTCTGGGTTTGTACAAGGCGATACAAGGTGATGCGCCTCGTACAAGTTACCCCAGTATCGTACTTTTAATAGCTTATTGATAATGTTGTCATATCTCTGCTTCCCAGTCTCTCGCACCTGGCTGTCTCGAATAGCACGCCGCCGCCCGCCACCTCCCCCGTTTCCATAAAGGTCAAGGCTGAGCCGCAGTCGCCGCCGAGAGATCTTTCCGCCAGCGGCCATCAGCAGAACAGCAATGGTTCCACGGGCAGCGGCGGCTCCAGCAGCAGCACCAGTAGCAACGCCAGCGGTGGCGGAGGTGGAGCAGTAGGCGGTGGAGCCGTCAGCGCAGCCAATGTCATCACGCACTTGAACAACGTCAGTGTCCTGGCGGGAGGTCCTTCGGGGCAGGGCGGAGGAGGCGGTGGCGGAGGCGGCGGCGGCAGCAACGGGAACGTCGAGCAGGCCACCAATCTTAGCGTGCTGAGCCACGCGCAGCAACACCACCTGGTCATGCCCAACTCGCGCCCCTCGTCCACGGGCCACATCACACCCACTCCAGGTATGCATTTGATTCTTGCACCTTTATGCTCTCCTTTCCTTTGTTCTTTGACTTCTCCCTCGTGTTTGAAGGATTTCCGCTTGCGAAAATTGCTGCCGTTTGTCTACTAATTTATCTAGAGTTGCAAATTTATGAAATACAAAATGTTAATCTGTATAGCGGCATGTTTTTTAATGTTAAACGCTCTTTCCTTATCTCTCTGTTAACGTTTAATTTCCAGTGCCCAACGGGCGTATACTTAACTCAAGATTACGTATACGCCACGTTGTCCGTCGAGGCACTTTGATTTTCGTTTTCTCTCACTTGCAACCTGCCGTTCTAATATTGTTACTATATAATACGATTGTCTTTTTTTGCATTAACCCACAACGACAACGACAACAACTACAATGTGTGGTAATATTTAGGGCATGATAAGTATGAAGGATATCCGTACCGCGCGCTAATGGGACATAATCCTAGATGGAATTTTGCCGGTAAATTGGCCACAAACGAAATACATCAAATACATTCAGACACACACATACACATACACATATACAAGCATACAAGCACCTATATATACGCATACATACAAAACTATAGACCATATCTTCTAAATGCAACAAAAACAAAATCGTTTTTAGAAACGGGGGCACTTGAAACCAAGTTTGATTTCGTCTAAGTTTCGGGAGCCTTTAAGCCTTTGTAAAATCCTACAGAAATTTTGTTTGGCTGCCTTTCGTTTTGATTTTTCTCCACTAACCACACAACCAAGCGATTTCCTGCTAACCACAAACACCACCTAAAGTTCTACAAGTCCCTTTAAGGTGGGAATTGAAATATAAACCTTATTTCTCGGGCCTTTGGGGACTTCTAGAACTGCAGGAGTCATAATCACAAACACAAGCTCACAACGGTCAGATGCTGAATGTCCGAGTGTCTGGCCACGCCCCGCCTGCCCTGAATGCCCGTCCGCCTGCCTTTGTCATACACATGCGACCTTGGATCAAATCAAACTAATAGCTTAACAGACTTCATTATCCTTAACGCAGGTGCGCCGAGCAGCGACCAGGATGTGCGTCTGGCAGCCGTCGCCGTGCAGCAGCAACAGCAGCAGCAGCATCAGCAGCAACAGCTGGGCGACTACGATGCCCCCAACCACAAACGGCCGAGAATATCGGGCGGATGGGGCACATAGCCGGCACGAGCTGCTGGTAGCAGCCACTACAAGCCACATCACAATAACCACACCGGCTGCAGCAGCATCAACGGCAGCAACACCAGCTGCAGCACCCCCAACACCATCATCAGCAGCAGCAGCAGCAGTAGCAGCAACAGCAGCAGCAGCAGCAGCAGCAGTAGCAGCAACAGCAACAGCAACAAGAAGCCGGCCGAGTGCGACGACCTGGTCATGATGCCGCCACCGCCCCGTAAGGACATAGGTCGCAGCTCCTACAGCCTCCTGCAGTCCGGCTACGACTGCTATGGCCAGCAACTGACGGTGGCCTACGGAGCACAGCAGCATCCGTAGCCGCCACGTCCTCCGTTTCCGGACCAGTGCAATAGTTAAGAGAGAGGAAACTGGAGGCAGTTTTGTTTTGTTTTACGGATTAAGCGAACAGTGACAGTGTCATATCTATAGTTATTGTAACTTAAATGAATTACGATTACACATCTACGGTAATAGTTATAATTTTAAATTATAAACGCAGTGCTGGCGGTGCTGCCGCCGCATCCTGCCGAGAAATTTGAGCAGGTTAGAGTGTTGAGCTGATTTAGTTTAGTTACAATTACAAATACAGTTACGAGTATGGTTAAAGTTAATGTTAAATCTAATCTTAGGCAAAACTGATGCAGACAAACAAAAAAGCAAAAAACAAAACGGAAGCGATTGATGAAAGAGCTCTTTATGCTGTACATATTTGATTTTAGTGTCATAAGTTTTAAACTTAGTTCGTAGGGAACTACGAGATACGTAAACCATGCAAGTCATACGATGAAACGATTGAGAAACTCTAAGCAAAACACAGACCCTCACGCAGATGTACTCAGTGTTCTATCATAATTTGTAATTTTGTGCAATTAATCGTCAATTTTTAGTTCTGTTCTATGCACACGCTCTTCAGAGCGTTTGGTTCCCCATCGAACCAAATACGATTTTTGATGGTTGGTTTAATTGATTTAAGCCAAAATCACAGCCTTGTGCAAGTGCGCATACACACATTATGATTTAGTTTAGTTCCGATTTAAGCGATTATTTAATAGACACCTTTATCTTCATCTCTTAAGCGAAACGAAGTCATAATTTGTAATTTAAATTTAAAGTGGATTTCTATTCAATTTGAAGTGTTTCAAATTCTTGTGCCTAAGTTTTTTGTATTTTTTACATTTAAATGCAGTTTGTAAAACAACAACAATCGCAACAGCAGCAACAACTCAACAAAATATAATTTAAATAAAATTATTCAAGAAATTTTTCGTTCTCGTCGCTGTTTATTTGATTAATCCATATCTTTATTTGCTCTCTGTACAATTCGCCCGGCCATATTTAAACAGGCCACATACATAAAACAGTGGGCGTGTCTGCGCCTGTGTCAATGTCAATTGCCCATTTCGAAATTGCCAATATTTGGCTAACGGGGTAAACGCGCCCGCCAATATTTGCACTGGCCACATGACCTGTTGCACTTTATACAGCAGCGCGAAACGGCGCAAACAAAAAGAGTTAAATATTTTATGTATATTTGTATTTGATATAGGGCTGCATCAGCTGTGCATATTTGAGTACAGTACGCGAACAATGCAGGTGCAGCCGGCGGCAAGCATTAACAATAAGCAAACACACACTCTACAGGTTTCCCCATTGAACAAGCTTTACAACACCTACATATGTAAGCAGATTGAGCCGATTTGAGCAGATCGAACGGATCGGTGCGAAATTATACGTCTACCAGCACGAGAAAGATATTTTCTAGCCATATATATTATCGTACGATATATACACTAAGCAAGTTGCCGCGGTTCCCCGAACCGAAGCGCACTTTTAGGATGAGCAAGATAGTTACCCTGGACCCAGTGTGAAATACACGTAGTGAGTCCACAGAGCAGTCCAGTCCATTCCATGGCAAAGGTTTTCCAGTAACGCCGAGACCAGCTAAAGCTGGCCTGTTCGTTGTTGGTGTTTATATTATATATATATATGATGTACATAAGTATTATATGTGAATATCTGTGGGCTATGTACTTGTTGCACCACTGAATGTTGTAAGCCGAACCCATGTTGACCCCCAATGATTTTCATATGATTTGCAGAACTTTTCGAATTTTCCCATATCTATCATTTTCATTAGGACCTCGTTCTGTTTATGTACATAGGATCCTGCTAAATAACTTCACTGTGTAGTGTTGCCTTAAAAACAGTGCCTCTTTTTGATGAACAAACAGATACATGAAGAAGTAACTGATATAACTGAATGTTGTACCAATGTTGATTGCAAATGATAATGATAACGAACAACTTGATGGTGAAAAATTTCAATACAGGTGTTAATTGTGCTATTTAAGTAAGCGTAGATAAATCGGTAACTGATATTAACCTAATACAATCCTAGTGAAATCCCGAAAGAGATAACCTCCACTAAGCAGCACGTAATGTACAAAGGGTCGTTTCGATTGGCATTGCATGAGGAAGGCTTACCCAGAAACCCATAAATGTAGTCTAGTTAAATTAAAGAGAGAGTTTATATTGATTGGAGTATATTTGAGTATATTTGATCGACGCACTGTACAGTTGACTGTCTAAAGGACGTCCTACGGTCACAGGGACCACTCACAGCACAGAAGTAATCCAGACGTCGCGATCTGCAAACAGGTCGTCCAGAGTGTAAATTCGTATTCGCTGTACCTTTAGGATAGAACAACCTAGATAAAATGTTACACCTACGCACTGTTGTAATGAAATTTATGTGGCACTCCACAAGCATCATATAATAGTTATTCAAAGACTTGTGCTTGAACTCACTTAGAGAATATTGAGGGCATATATGTATGTTCAGCTAAACTATAGATAGGTCCGGGAGTGATATGCGGATAGGCACAAGGATTGGGTAGCATTTCAGAGAGAGGAGGGTCACCTACTTCAGTGTATCCATTGATGTGTCTGTTCTAATAACCATATACAACTGAATCGTAACTCTAGGCTAATGACATGCAACCGTTTTGGTGAAAAACAAGATAGTACATTATACATGCATATATATGTGAAACTATATAAAGAGAAACAAGTTTTATCCGTGCACTGAATATGAAAGGTTTTTGAAATTGACAAATTGATTGTGGATTCAATATTTACCTATTAAGTTGGTGTTTTAAACAGAAAAAAAAACGAGAACAAAACCAAACAAATGATAGTAGAACATTTTAAATAAAACCTTTTTGGCAACTGACTGTCTGGCTTTTACTACAATTTTATTGCAACTTTAGGCTTATTTCCGAATCATAAGTTCAAATTCTCAACTTTAATAACTAGTGAAATGCAATTGCGGTACACGGATTGGCTGGGATGATAATCCTTTCACATGCCGTTGTAGGCGGGACCGCCACCTCCCTCGGGCACCACCCAGTTGATGTTCTGCTTGGGGTCCTTGATATCACAGGTCTTGCAGTGGATGCAGTTCTGAGCGTTAATTTGCAGCTTCATGTTGCCGCCCTCCTCATTGGGCACGTACTCGTACACGCCGGCTGGGCAGAATCTCTGCTCGGGTCCCTCGTACAGCGCCAAATTATGATCCACAGGGATGCGGTCGTCCTTGAGCGTGAGATGGGCGGGCTGGTCGCCTTCGTGGTTTGTGCCCGTGAGTGCCACCGAAGACAGCAGATCGAAGGAGATCTTGCCATCGGGCTTGGGGTAAACAATGGGCTGGCAGGAGCTGGCTGGCTGCAGGGACTCGTGATCCTGGGGACCGTGTTTTAGGGTCCATGGTTCCCGGCCGCCCATGAAAATGGAGAAGCCACTGAGCACAAGGCCACCGTACAGGCCCAATGGATTGTGGAAAGAAGGGTGGACATTTCGCACGCTGTACAGATCCTTCCATACAAAGGAGTTCTTGATTCTGGGAAAAAACATTTTGTTGGTTACTTAATATTGTGTCTTTCTGCCTGCAAGACTCTAAGCTTACTTCTCCGCGTAGCCTGTGGGTTCCACACCAGCCGTCGATTGTGCGTCCGCATTGATGGCTTCAAGTGCACTCTCCGCCGCCAGCATGCCGCTCTTCATCGCGTAATGGGAGCCCTTAATGCGAGGAACATTCAAGAAGCCAGCACTGCAGCCCACAAGGCAACCTCCCGGGAACGATAGCTTCTGGGGCAGACTTTGGAAGCCACCCTCATTGATGGCGCGTGCCCCATAGGCAATTCGAGTGGCTCCCTCGAAGACGTGTCGCACCTTGGGATGCGTCTTGAATCGCTGGAACTCCTGGAAGGGACTGAGCCAGGGATTCTTGTAGTTCAAGCCCACCACAAAGCCAACTGCGATGGTGGGTGTGGGCTCGTTCAAATGGTACAAGAAGGAGCCGCCATATGTGAAGCGGTCCAGAGGCCAGCCAATGGTGTGCTCCACCAAACCAGGTCTGGAGAAGAAGATAAGTAGGGGTAACACTTGTTGTTTAGGTAACTTCTTTTAGCCACTCACTGATGCTTCTCGGGGGCAATCTCCCAGACCTCCTTTAGACCGATACCGTAGGCCTGTGGTTCGCTGCCCTCGTTCAGTCCGAACTTCTGCATAATCTGCTTGGTCAGGTGACCACGACAGCCTTCGGCAAAAATCGTAGTCTTGGCGTGCAATTCCATGCCACGTGCAAAGGTGTCTTTGGGAGCACCGCTCTTGGCAATGCCCACGTCGTTGGTGGCAATGCCCTTGACACTGCCATCCTCGTGAAACAGCACCTCGGAAGCAGCACAGCCGGGATAGATCTCTACGCCTAGTGCCTCCGCCTGATCCCCAAGCCACTTGACCAGGTGTCCCAGGCGAACTACGTAGTTGCCATGGTTGTCCATGGGCCAGCCCTTAAAGACCGGAATGGAGATGCGGCCGGATCCGGTGAGGAAGGAGAAGGTATCCTTGGTCACGGGTGTGTTAAGCGGAGCTCCCTGCTCCTGCCAGTCTGGGATTAGCTCGTTCAAAGAGATAGGATCTATGACGGCGCCGGAGAGAATATGTCCGCCAACTTCGGCGGCCTTTTCCACCACGCAGACGCGAATTTCCTACAAACAAGCGGGTGCTCATTGGGCGTCCGATGGCCATATAGAGACTTACATACCTGATCCTTTTCCGCCGCCAGTTGCTTCGCCCGAATAGCCGCCGACATGCCGGCAGGTCCTCCACCCACGATCACCAGGTCCACCTCCTCGACGCAGCGCTCCATGTCCACTTCCGTCCAGCGCTCATCCTTCTCGCGGGGATTCAGCGTATAGTGGGTGGTGATCCTGGGATATTTGGCCACATCGGAGATGCTGCGAGCCAGGGCAGGGTTGAAGAGTCTCCGGACTAGATGGAGATAGATCATTGTATAATCGGGCGATTTTATGGGTTTGTGGGTCTATCGACATCTTTGCGGTTATGTAATGACTGAAATGTGGGTTCTGGGAACACTTACCGCTGTGCATTTTCAAGAGTGCCGACATTTTCAGCTCTTTTTTTTGCTGCTAATACCGATTTAGCAGTGGGAAGAGTTCTGGGCTCTGAGTTCTTGCAGAAGTGCACCGTAAACTGTTCCTATTTAAGTAAGTATGTATGATATTGTGTTTATTCCAATCCAAAACACAACACGAACAACAAGATCGGTGCAACAAGTTGGACTTTGGACCCGTCCACCCGATGACGTAGCTCCGTCCAAAGTTCGTTGGCAGTATTTACTGTTCGCTTATGAGTATTCAGCACTCGAGATTACCAACTTGGAATACAAATAAACTGATCAAACTGAAAAATTAAAGCTGTTTGGTTTCTATTCTCAACCAGCGGTTTCTTATGCTTACAGCTGGGCGATAAGAATGAGTGGTACTAAAAATGACCACTCTCCGCGGACTCGACCCATCTTGATAAACTGGTATACACGCAATTCTAGCGATGACACAAACCGGAACAGAGTTGTAAAGCATTTGAGGTCCTTACAATTTAAGACTTGAAAACAGGTTCCATATTATTCCTTTTGGCTAAAAGCAAATCTTTTGAAAAAAAAGATTTCAATAAATATGCTATTAAATCATCAGCTGAACATTTTCTTGAGGAAAGCAAGACTACAAATTTTGGAAAAAAAGATTGTCTACACTGAAGTCCTTAATGCAATACATATATTTTTAATAATGATCCATCCTAATTTAAATTAAATAACATAAATAGGTGATAAATTAAAAATTTAAACGATACGATTTTTTAGGAAATTTCTTGATGTTTCTCAGTGTTCAGTGTAAAATTTATTTTAATGGCCTTAAAAAAAATAGTTGGTTTTGATAAAATAATAGCGCATGTAGACATACTTGTATTTCCATATTGCAAAACAGCAAACAAAAATTTACCTGATTAATAGAGGAAACTACTATAGTAGTAGACCTACAGATTTCCAGTCAAGAAAAATAACCCTCAAAATGAAATGCTTTCAGACGTTTTGAGTGCTCATTAATTTGATTTAATAAAGCAATCTTTATTTAAAATGTTGGCAAACGATTCTATTCACGCCAATTTCAATTTCTTCAGTATTACACTAGGTATTTATAGATAGGATAAGAACTTCAAAGCACGGTGAATTTTTAATCCAGCCCATTCATTAAAAATTCATAGTTCAGACATTAGTCAGGAGTTCGTGTTAGGAGGGGAGTATACGTATTTCAATTTAGATCCTTGCGTCTGTTTGTCAATATCTATTTACAAGGAGGCGTCCCGCAGGACTCCTTCACTGGCCGAAGAACTGATCCTGTTCCACACTGCCGTCCTCCGTGGTGGTCGCCTGTCCGTCGCTCTTCACCTGCTGATCCTGCTGATCCTGCAGCTCCTGTTTCTTGAACAGCTCCGTCATGGCCTTGTCCACTGGACTGCGTTCACCTAGATTGCCTTGAATGGGCTTGGTTTGCTTGGATTCGGGAGCCTCCGGCTTCACGCTCTTACCGAAGCGAATAAAGTTTGAGTCCATCTTCCCGGATCGCACAAAGTCCTGCGGAGCAGAGCGCCCGAAGCGCATGAAGTTGTCTGGGCGACCGAATCGCATGAAATCCTGTTTGGGACTGCGAAGCTCCTCGTGGGGACTGCGTCCGAAGCGCATGAAATTGTCGGAGCGTCCGAACCTCATGAAGTCCTCGGCGGGAGTGCGTCCAAACCTCATGAAATCCTCGGCCGGAGTGCGTCCAAATCTCATGAAATCCTGCTTGGGATCTCGTCCAAATCTCATGAAATCCTGCTTAGGATCTCGACCGAATCTCATGAAATCCTGCTTGGGATCTCGGCCGAATCTCATTAAGTCCTGCTTGGGATCCCTGCCAAACCTCATGAAGTCCTGTTTCGGATCCCGACCGAACCGCATAAAGTCCTGCTTGGGATCTCTGCCATATCGATCCATGGCTGCCCGCTTGGCCATGCCCTCCAGTTCATCCGAGCCGCCATAGCTGCCCTCCGGAGGCAGTTGCTCCGCCTGCCGCTTTCCGAAGTGCATGAAGTTGTCCTGCACGGACCTCCGCTTGGCCTCCAGTTCGGGATCGTACTTGTAGCGCGGCTTCCGGCCGTGTTTCTGGAAGTGCAGGACTACGGCATTCTTCGAGTAGTCGATGCCAATCACGGATATGGGGTGCCGGAACTCCAGCTCCGCCCTCTCGGTCTGATCGTTGCCGAGCAGTGCATCTACCAGGTCATTGTCCTGCGGAGTACTGACCTCCGGTTCAGTGTCCTGCAACGAGTTGCCATAGTTGGGCGTTTCGATGATCTCGCTGTGGATGGCCGACTGCATCTGGTACAGCGCCAGCAGGAACATCAAGGCAATGCCCATCTGCAAGGATAAGAAAGGAGTGACGGCAGGATAATTATGAGACGGCGACAGCTCGCGTTATCTATTGCAACTTTTAATCACATTAAGACCGTTCGTTTTACTTAGGGTAACAGTAGCCACCAGACAAAGTGTCCTGCTAATTAACCATCATGATATTTATGGCCAGATCTGTTGGGCCGCCGCGTAAAAAGTTATCCAGCAGCATTAAAACCACCACAATGGCATGGCACGACAATGGGTCCTCGCACACACACACACACACGCACTTAGCCACCCACTCAGGCACCCACATTGGCATATAACCAGGTTTACAGGCATTAACACTTGTTCGGGCAAGTTGGCCGGGCGGCCAAGTGGGCGATGAAAGGAAGTGCCAGGGGAGCCGTTGATGTATGGCGTCCGGACGAGGACGACGACGGCAACTCCATTAGAGATGCAAATGATTATGGCTTTTGGATATGGTGACGGCTCAGCCTGCAAGGCCTGCTCAAGGCAAGCTGATCCACTGAGTGCCGTGTCAGCGCATCGTGGTCGTGGCATGTGCAACAGGTTGCAGGTAGCAGGACCAGGAGCAGTCTTCAAAATTGAATAGCCAGGTCCATTCGGAGTGGTGCAAAAGCTACTAAAATCTACTCCACTTTCTTCTGTCTGATGTGACTGACGCCATAAGGCATTGGGGTCACACTGCATTGTAGCTATCTTGGCTAAGATCACTAAATGCATGTCTGCTCTAAGGTATTTTCAACCGACGACATAACTATTGCATTAGTCATTAAATTTTAATTAGCGCTTAAAAATCTGGCCATCATGCTAATGATGGGCCAACTTTCTGCAAGCCCTGTTAATATTGGGATATAACTAACAAAGCTTTATGCTAATGCCACTTGTTCGCTTCTCAACTCATAGATATTCATCATCATTATTATGTGCCATCTTTATGTGGCTGTATTTACTTTCTTTCGTTTTGGAAAATATTGAAATGTGTTTTGCGAGGTGTGCAACAAAGTTGCAGGAAGAGGAAAAATCAGCAGCAATCAGGGTTTTCCCAACCGCCAGCCAGTGGCCAATTAGCACTTCTGTGCCATCGATGTTTGAGTGCTCCGCTTGGATGAAATTAAAAACTTGCCCAGACAACTCACCACAAAAACTTGACCTCCAAGTTGCCGTCTGATGAGCAGACTTCGCAACTGCGAGCATTAACATACTTTCGGCGGTACTCGCTTAATTCGATGTCGGGGCAATCAGAGCCACATTCAGCCACATTCGAGTTTTCAAGAGTGCAAAGACGATGGCCCAGACAAACCGTCTGAAGATTTGCATACGCACTCCTCAGCCGTGTTTTAATGGCCAACAGCGTTGCAGTTGCAGTTGCAGTTGCATTTGCAGCCTAAAATGTGCGAGAGGTGAGGAAAACTCAAGGGTCCCATAAAAGAGGAAACAACTGGATATGTTGCAATACCCCTGCCGCGGGCCAAAATGTGACAGACAACCTCTCCAGTGGAGTCAGCAAGGAGTCAGCGAATTTGAAGTGGGTAGACAACAATTGCCAAACGTCTGATTGATTTGCGATGCCGAAATGTGCATTTAAAATTCATAATGTGCCGCGTTGCCTTGTTTGTTCTGGGCAGAAGGCTAAAAGTCGGGGGAACTAAGGAATGGGAGGTATCAATAACAAACTCGTTAATTCGCTTAGCCCGCGCAGGCAGCTGAAAGTTGGAAGCTGGAAGCTGGAGGATGGTAGATGGTAGATGGAAGATGAAACCCGGGATTCGGGACAGGCCTAAACTGATTTGCATGGCATATGCGATACGTTTGATATCTTTGAAGTAGCTGCCCTGGCAACACCTCCTGCCCGCACCACGGATCCCGGATTTGCAGGATTCATGCACGCGGAGCATATTACCCGTGGCGGGGCATTTAAATATCATTTGTCAGGCTGGTGCTGCAAATGTGGGACACCTCCGGAGACAAATGATGGGCTCGCTGAGCATTTCACTTGTCCACTGTCGGCGATAAATCAAAAATTGCACACGCTTCGCTGTGCGGCTCCTGAGGACCGGCAGTTAACACCACCATTTCCGCATTTTGCAGCGCAGGTGCGAATGCAAATGGAAAGCTAGCTCCGCCCTGGGACCCAAAAGTGCACTCATAAATATCTCAATTTGCCTTCATTAACCGAAATGGCTGTTACCATTCCCTGTGCCTGTCTGCTGGATACGAGGAAAACTATTTCCTGTTTGTTGGTTTTTCTTTTTTTGCTCACTCGAACTAATTTTACATGTGGGCCAGTCGAAAAGTTGATAAAACCGAAGTTGGCTTTAGTTGGGCCAACACTTTTTGGCCAATTAAAAATTACCCCGATTTGGGGATTATCGCATATTGTTTGACGCTCTTGGGATGCAAATCTATTAATGGACTCGAAACGGAAATGTCAAACCTCATATTTATTCAGAATATACCATAGTACTACAAAGTACTACATTATGCGTGAGTTATCAAAGTGATTTTAGCTAGTTAACACTACGCAGTGTCGCTTAAAGCAGGGGCTACTAATTGGCGGTGGGCTTTTCCAAAGAATGGTTCGATTGCTTGAGGCTCAGCACTGTTTTCACTATTTTCGCACAAAACCATGGCACTCACCTCTGAAACCTGTCCCTTTGCTGGAAACTAGAGTGAGTTCGGGTCTGGGGATCCTTTTGGGCCGCACACACACACACTTGTTGCCCGGTCGAAGGTGGAACAGTTCTGTGAGGATGTTTGGCGAAACATCCTGTTTTATATGCTGTGGCTCCTTTGTGTGCTGGCTGCGAAGGAGGCTGATGTTGAGGTGCCTGCGAGTGGGCGCGCGCAACAAGTGCTGCGGCAACATGTTGCCAGAGGACATTCAATGGAACTGATTTCCGCTGCAGTTTTTCCAGCCTTTAGAGCGCCAGTCAGCAGCACAGATTAGCAGGTGTGTTCTGTGCTGAAAAAACCTTGACAATGTCGGCAAATGGTCGCTGGTCAGCCGCTGATATGTTTGTTTTGCTTGTCAGCGGCTGTCAGCGGGACAAAAGGCCAAAACACAGACCGCATTCAAGCTGACTTATTAGCCAGAAGCAGCAAAGGAAGCAAAAAGAAGCGAAGGCAGCAAAAGCGGCAACAATGACGTAGCAACATTTCGACGCCAGTCTGCTGGCCACTCGAGCACCAAATTGTATGCAAATCGCCCACAATTGTTATGTTACGCCCACTTTTAAGTCGCGGGTGGGAGGAGCAGGGACATCCTGGTCGGGCACGTCCAATTAGCCTCGCAGCCAGTGGATCGACTACGTGTCCGTATGCGTTATAATTTGCCATTGCCGTCGCGGCGTTTATGTCGCTTTATGGCCCTGTAACCTGTAACGGGATACGTTGTGGCGCCTCTGGCATCTCATCCAGCACCCCAAACCACACACCATCCCCGCCAGCTTTTCAAGACTCGCCTCTTGGGTGGGGCTGAGAAACTGTTCAAAAGGCGGAAGTCTGTAATTACGGCCCGGCAAAAGGCCAAAGTTTCGGAGACGAGTCTCATCAATGGCATTTCGCTTTTGGCCAGCACGCATGACTGGGCAGAAATGTGTCGGGTTTTGGCCAGGTTTATTGGGTATCCACTGCGCTCTTTACGATCATCCAAATCAATATAAACACGCGCGGAAACCACGTATGCAGTTGGCTTCATTAGCATAAATAGATGCAAAAGTCGAAAATGAAAACGAATTAGAAGGCAATGTGATAAGCCCAGACTAGTTCAAGTTCAAATTTTGGTTTGGGGTTTGATGACCAGGCCAAGTCGTGTGCCAATCGCCCAGTTAAAAATAGTTCAGCTACACCATCATCTGGTCAAGAGAACTACGTTGCTTTGTAATCTATGGACTCACTCCATATAGCTTTATTGTTAATTCATTTGCATTTGAATTCCTTTCTATGTCTCAGAGCTATAAATATCTTCGAATTTAAATAAAATTTTATGTTTAATTCACTGTTGACTTTTGTTATTTGTAAGAGACCTCTATTTATGTAAGCCATTAAAACGTTAGGATTCTTTCATAACCCAAAGTGTGGGATAACTTCGGATTGAAGCCCATATTTAACTGCTAGTTAAATATTTGTTTATAAAAGCACAACTACAAACACTAAATACTTCTTTTTTAATTTAGTGGCTTATTGCAAGTATTTGTTTATGAATTTGTCTGCTTGTTGTTAGGTGATAATTAGATATTTTATCACGTACAAGGTCCGAACAATAAGCAACTTTTGTTAATAATCAAGACTAGTTTATTATAGTACGCAGTTAATAGCCTGAGTCTTTACTAACAGTGCAGCAATTAATTGATATAAAAGGTTAGGCATATTGATAAAAACATATTTATTAAAATATATTAAAGGGAAAGAATTCTTTTAACTTCGAGCCTACATGTGCAAATCACGTGGCAAATCTAGCCAAAACGCGAGGTTAGCAGAGGTCAAGTCAATGCCTCTGATGCCTCTTCGCACTTGGCCACTTTGGTTAGCCCGATTAGGTGCAGCCCTGGCTGGAAATAAAGCCAATAAAATGGATGCTGCGACGCGGTTTCGATGTCAATGCCATTACCAATTCGCGGCTGCCGCTCTTTTCCGTTTATTTTCCAATGGCATTTCTGTTTCGCTCTTGTGACCAACAACTGTAACTAACCAGATTCGTCTAATTAATGGCCAGCGCAAAGGGGATTTATGTGGGCCATAAAGCAAACTCAGGTAGCAGCTTTTCGCTGATCCACCCACCGATGCGGTTCGTTGGCATTAATGGTTGGAGCCAAGCTGATTTCCCTGCACTGAAGGCGGTCCACACTGCGTATGCGCAACGCTCGCTCTTCTGGCCCGAAAATTGAATGGCTTTGCTTTGGCTTGGAGGTCCAAACGCAATTGCATCACGTTCTAACTGCTTTCGGATGCATTGCCTCCTAAATTGAATGGTGAGTCGGTAAAGCGGGTGAACAAGTTCGTTTACTTAGAGCGCAGCGATGTGAGAAAACGGCGCTCAGTAGTTCGACCCCTGACCGTAAGGGGGGTAAAAGGGGTTAAGGGGTATTAAAGGGGGTTAAGGGGCTAAGGGGGGTCAGAAGAGGCCTAGTGGGAAACCCCTCGCCTGGCATAGCGTGTCACTCTGCTCGAGTGTCTCTCGGATTCGGAGATCTTTGCGTGCACCGAAAAAAAATAATCGAATATGTTAATCTTCTTACCTTACCATATCTGTTTAAATGTTTCGGTATATCAAAAATCACTTACAATACTAGGAAAAGAAAATATTTCATATTTTCCCACATAGAAAATAGCTGAACTTTGTATCCAACGAATCTTCATCGCACATACAAAACTCGCCGCAAAGATGTAAATATCTTTTTGACCCGAGAGGGGGGGCTTTTTTGTCGGTGTGCTAGCTTGGAAACTAGCTACCAGATATCGGAGTATCTGCATCTGTGTGTGCGCCAAACTAGCCGATGCGATACATGGTTTGGCCCAAAGTGGTTTTCGTTTTATTTTCTATTAGGTTGGCTGGGAGTGCGAGACTCTTTTCGTGATCAGTTTGTGTTTAGCATTCGGTGAGCGCGGGTCAACAGTATCTGAATCTGAATCTGAAACTGAGTCCGCAAAGTATCCAAGTATCTGCGTAAAAGGGTCTGCCATTGTTGCCAAGTGAAGGTGCGCTCGAATTGACACTATTAATTTAAACAGAAGTCGAAGCGGAAGATGGCTTTATGGTGGCATTATTGCAATTAGCATGCGAATCAAATGCGTTAACAAAGCCCAAGGCTCACTGAATTATTAATTTTATAAGAAACTCGAGTCGCAAAGGTGATGGGTCCTTGATGCCTGTATCTGCATATTCAACTATGTTACTCAACCACTGTATACCCGACAATTCGTGACTTAACCCCCTTGCATTCACGTCCACATCCACTCCTTGATTTTATTATCGCATTGTTGACATCTCCGAATGCTCCAAACTGGTTGTCTCCAGAAAAGAAGCCAAACATGCAAGCAAACCAAGGAGCACCGTGCGCTTTTCGGGTATTTCCAAATTGGGAAACCGGGATACGCCAGCCACCTGGACATTCTTTTGGAGCAAGTGCAGCTGTCGTCGGACATGCAATCAGCGTATCAAGTGCTATAAATTGCAGTCTGTAGTACCCGTGACTGGCGGAAAGTTGGGGCTCCTATCCCGAGAATCGTTTAATGGCTTTTGCCTATGGAGCGTTTAAGATGCCAACTCGATTGCCCCGGAGGAGATCTGAAATTGCAATAATTGCTGCTCAGCAAGTGTTTCAGAGATTAGCGGGTCAGCGGGTTGTGTGTGGCAATCCAATCTCTCGGCCGGGTTAGCACATGTCTGCCCTTTTCACTTTCGAAAATCACGTTCGCTGCCGCAGTCTTTGGTATCAGCAATGAACTAGGCTTCATGGCGCCGATCTTGGCCGCAGGCTTTCCATTCTTGGCCCAATGCTAAAGCCATTTAAAGCTTTTAATTTGAGACCAAGACATTCGGAATCGCCATAATACTGTAGCCTTAGTAATCGCGGCACTTTGTGGTTTGCTCTTTTATAGCTTTACGTCGGGTACTCCCATTTTCATCAGCACTTTGAACTGAATCATAAAATGGATATAAGTTTCAGATTGGCATAGGAACTTATACTCTATCAACTACCTCATCAAATATCATTCCGATTGAAAACTACTTTTCAAGACAAAAGTCCCAATATCAAGTACGGGTTAATTCGCCTTATTTTCTTTTTAAGAACTATGGCAATAGTTTATTTGCTTTTTTTAAAGAAAGTTTTTATTACAAACTAAACATTAATATTATAATTCTAATAAAAGGGTATCTAAGCCCAGAAGCTACATTCCTTTCTCGTCATGACTTCAGTTTCACTTGTCACCCCAACCCCATCTCATTGCTGGCCTGCTCCGCCAACCAGAAGATTATAGGTAGTCCAGCTTGTTAAGCGGGTCCAAGTCCGCGCCGTCTAATAACCAAGTGTGTGTCGAATGCGGGTCAATGTGTCAGCGGACCAACGGCTTTCGATCATGTTTAAGTCAGCGGAGTGGATGAAGGACGCAAGGTGCTCTGGGCATGCTCCACCGCCCATGGCAAGCTCATGGTGCGAATCGTGGGGCATGCGACATGTACATAGGCTTGGATGGAGATGGAGATGGGAATGGGGATGGGGATGGGGATGTGGCAATAGCTTAATTGGTGCCGTAACGCAAAATCGGTGTCGCTCCGCTTGCCCACTCGATGGTCACTGCGTTGACACTCAGAAACCCAGCCAGCCAGTTATGTGGCCACTGGCCAGTCAGTCAAACGTGGCCTAATCTGCAATTGTCGCTCCGACGGCTAACTGGTTGGTTGCCTCATACTCGGCTACGACCACTTTACAGCCAAGATCAAATGAAATTAAAAGTGCACTTGGCGGCTATGGCCATTACGTGGTCGCAGCCACATAAGTGTCCAAAAAGATCTAACAATGTCAACTCCATTTTAAAGATCATATTTCTGATAGTCATAGGTATTAAAGCAAGTGGTATTTACGAGATATAAAATCTATATCGAAGACAGTTAAAAGACAGTTCCTATAAAAAACACCATATTAAGATGCTTCAATATAACTCTTTAATCCCATGTGTGACAGAAGCTATTCGAGATGACCGCCAAGCCGAAGTTTGTTTACGAGAAGGATGACCTGGGCACCATTGGCGAGGTGGACGACAACGAGGTGGACCGCATTGCGGAGTGTTTCAAGGGACGCAGTCTGTTCATCACAGGAGGCACTGGGTTCCTGGGCAAGGTTTTGGTCGAGAAGTTGCTGCGGTGAGTGGGTGGAAAGTGGACGGGCCAGCTGGTCCGTACGTGGCCCCATTAATACCCATTATGTGCCATGGCTTATGCAATATTATTAATTCGTGCAGGTCGTGCGGTGGCCTAAAGCGCATTTATCTGCTCATCCGCCCCAAGAAGGGCAAGGATCCTCAGGAGCGCATTAAGGATATATTCCAGAATGTGGTAAGCAGGGTGGGAATTATGGAAACTATGAGAAATTATTGCACAGCATACGAAATTAATCAACTTACTTGTGGCGTGTGGTATGTGGTATGTGCAGCTTTTCGACCAGGTGAAGCAGATGCGTGGCGAGGAGCACATCCTGCAGCAGGTGGTGGCCATAGCCGGTGATGTCCTATCGCCTGGTCTGGGTATCTCCGAGAAGGATCTGGAAACTCTGCGCCAGGAGGTCTCCATTGTGTACCATTGTGCAGCTACAGTGCGGTTAGTATCTATCTACTTTCACAACTCACACTCAAAGAAATTCCGTTTCCTAACCTATGGCCCTGGTTAACTCTTAATAAATATAATAAAACAATTCTTTGGATCATTTTTTGATTTATATATATATTTATTAGATATATGTATAGGGAGTATATAGGCACATATATCAAATTTATTTGTAGCGCTCGAGAATCTTGTTCTCATCTTATGTCTACAGTTTTCCCACTAACTCTGCACGTTTATTCCATTTGCTTTGCCAGCTTTGATGAACCTCTCCGGAATGCCGTGTTCATGAACACACGCGGCACCAAGTACATGCTGGAGCTGGCTCAGACTTTGAAGCACCTGGACTTCTTCGCCTACTGCTCGACCGCCTACTGCCACCTGCATGTTAAGACGCTGTACGAGAAGCCCTACGATCCGCCAGCAGATCCGCACAAAGTGATGCAGGCATGCGAGTGGCTGACGGACGACGAGGTGGCCACCATCGAGCGCAAGGTGCTCGGGGATATCCCAAACACGTATGCCTACACCAAGTCCCTGGCCGAGGCGCTGGTGGTGGAGAAGTTCGATGAGCTTCCCGCTGTGATTCTGCGCCCATCAATCGTCATCCCCATATGGAAGGAGCCTATTCCCGGCTGGACGGACAACATTAATGGGCCCACCGGCCTGCTTATCGGAGCTGGAAAGGGTGTCATCCGCACCATGTACTGCAATTCATCCGGCTATGGTGATTTCCTGCCGGTGGACGTGGCTGTCAATGGTATTCTGGTGGCCAGCTGGAGGAACATAACAGCGGGCACAGATAAGACCAATCGGGTTGCACACATGACTTCCTCCAACGACATCAAAGTGTCTTGGGCGGAGATCATCGAGCTGGGTCGCTGGGTGATTGAGAACAAGGTGCCACTTAATGGCGTGGCTTGGTACCCAGGTGGCTCAATGAAGTCCAACTACTGGGTGCACTTCATCTGCATGGTGCTCTTCCAGTGGATGCCTGCTCTCTTTGTGGACGCTCTGCTCTGGATACTTCGCTATCCCCCGGTATTGTGCCGCGTCCAAAACCGCATCTACAAGGGATTCGAGGTATTCGAGTACTATGCCAACAATGTTTGGAACTTTGACAACTCGGAGGCGGTGAAGCTGCGCAAGCTGATGAACAACAAGGAACGGCGCACCTACGTGATCGAAAAGATCGAGCTGGATCTTATCGACTACTTCACCAACTGCGTTCTCTGCGCCCGACGCCTGATCCTCAAGGAGTCAGACGAATCAATTCCGGCCGCTAGGAGACACATGAAGGTGTAAGTATAGGCGGCGCAGATACAGAGTCCTTATCCGCCACTGATCATGATCATTTCTTTTCTAGAATGTGGGTGGTGGACAAGGTCTACAAGGGCATCTGGATCTTCGGCATCCTGTACATGCTCTATAGGTGCTTCTTCGCGGGCTAAAATCCGTCCGGATGGAATGCCTATTTAAGAGCTGGAAACCAAAAGATGTGCCCTGCCCCAAGCCGTAGCTGTTATGTTTTCTCTAGGACCTAAGTTTTCTAGTTTTAGGAGGTGCTGTTGGATGATAAGTATTTTACTTGTTTTTAAAGGCAGCGAATAAAAAATTTGGTTTATGTATTGCGACGAGTTTTTAAGAGTATTTCCGGGTCGTTTTACTATATATTATATATTTCATGCTTTGAGGGCACTTTTTATGCCGAGAATGGAAACGACTCGACTTTCAAATACCTGTTATACTTGTATGTCGCAAATGGCAAGAAAAACAGTCAAATTAAAATGCTAAAATGGACATAAATAGTAAATGAACAAAAAAGTTTTTACTGTTTTTAATGCGTTTTACTTTATGCACACAAATAAACACCAATTTTTTTTTTTTTATATTTTTTTTCACATTATCATAATAAAATATAAATTAATATGTATAAAAACTATATAAATGTATAATATTACTTAACTACAAATCTACAAACAACTTTGCAACAATAAACACAGAATTACTTCCTCGAACGTGGCAGAGTCTGGAAAGTACAGAAAATGTAAATGATTTTAGGCAACGTTAATAAATATTTATTCAAGTAACAAATTTGTATAATAAATAATACCATATAATGATTCGCTGAATTTTAAGTAACCGATTTACATTTTAAGTTTTCGATACTGTTCAGAATATTTGGCTTGATCAGCTCCACTGCGTTGAAGGCAGTGTCTCGTTGGTCTAATGACTTATCACACTTGCTGACTTCGTTGCAGGTACCCCATTCCCTGGTTTCATTATCGAACTTAATGGAAAATGGCGCGAATTTCGGGCTCAAATTCATAAATAGGAATAGAACCCGTTTGCGAAGGTCCACCGTGGCATCCAAATGTGCCGGCCAGGTGCGTTTGTAGCAGAATTCTCCCAAATCATGGAGCACTAGCTCCAGATCAGATCGCAGCGAGGATGAGAGGTAGGGAAAAAGACTTGGGATCAATGGACCCCTGACATTGCACAATTTATCGTTGACCTTGACCACCGCTTTCTGATAAGTTGCCCCCGGCAGATGTCCTTCGATTTGGTACTTTATTATTTGCTCTAGAGTCAGCGAATTAAAAAAACTGAATAGCTCAAGATTGCGGAATATAACGCTGCTTTGGGGAGAGGAAGCGACAAGGCGCTTCGGTGTACGAGCGATGGTAGAAACAGGATGATCTTCTTTATTTACCTTGCAAGTACCGACATCGTTAGAATCTAGTAGATCTTGGAGCTGGGAGCATTCCAACAGCGTGTTGCCAACTGCGAAGTCCTGTGATGGAGTAATGTTTACTTGATGATGAGGAGGTCTTTCCGTGAGTGTGGTTTTCGCAGTCTGACACGTTCTGATATCTTCAGAATCGGGAAGTCTAACCGCATTTTGCCGGCCCACTACCACACCCATCGGCAACGGCTGAAACTCGTGCCTTAGTTGCGGAACCTTATCGTTCATCAGTTTGATTCGCTTGCAATTTAATCCTGGGCTGGGTGCCTGTCTCTTTTGAGGAATCACAGAAACCTGAACTATTGGCGTAGACCGACCACTCAACGTGTTTACGTTAGTCCCCAATTGAGCAGGGTCTGTGGCCTTCGGCACTTCTGGTTTCTTAACGTAATCATGATCGTCTGCAAGCATAGAATCCTCTAGAATAAAATTTAGTTGGTTCTCGGAATTCTGATTTTGTATGGCAAAGCAGGACAGGCTTGGTCCATCGCTGTCGTTGGTGTCCAAGTCTATTGTTTGCTCCTCGGGATTAATGTGTTCCCACTGGCAATTTTCGGTGTCGCAAATTGCGCGTTGGTTGTTAAGAAAACTGATGGGTTCCTGCTTGACATTGGCAATTTGCAATGACGCTGGCGTATCAGTTGGAGTTTCTGGCACCTGTGACGTTTCCTCAATATGATAGGATATTAGAGGATCGACTATCATTTGTGATACTTGCGAAGCTGATTCCACATTCAGCACGTCCACAAAACTCAAGTTGTTGAGCTGTGATGGCGACTGACTAAGTTCATCTGCACCACAAGCAGTGCTTGGACTTGAGGAAATTGAAACTATTTCAGTTGGTATATTCACATCTCCATCTCCAACGCCACATATTTTCTCTGAAAATAAAGGTAATATCAAATAATTGTTCAGGCACTATTAATTAAAAGCGCTCACTCAATAAAATCCTTTCTAGAACTGGCTCTACTCCTCCGAATTCAGCATTTAGCGTTTCATCAGCGATTCCTGGAACTCGTGGTAGCCACTGGTTATGAATCCAACAGCACACATATAGTTTCTCTCTCTCTTGGCACAATTGCAACACATCATCAATTTCCTCGCCAGTGCGCCTCATGTACTCTTGTTCAACGATGTTATCAAAATCCGAGTAGTAACTTAATTCCCAAGGGCTCATTATTTTGGGCGATATTTTGGACAGATCTAGCTTATCCAACTGTACTCCCTTACTGTGGAGCAGGTGCTTTAGACGTGGCAATAAGACGTATAGATTTACAGGCCAGTTGCCATGGTCCACGACATGCTTAAAGCAAAGCTGTAAGTCGTCTTCGCTATTGTACATTTCCTCGCCACCGTGAATGCTCGTGTAGTAGAAGAATTCTTGAAGATTTAGTTGGTAGAGTATGCGCCAAATGGCTCTCATCAGCCCTTCACTTGTGCAGATCAAATACTTCAGATTGTGATCCTATTTGGAATGGGATTTGGGTCTGTCAAGAATTTGCATTGCGTACTTAAATTTTATTTCTTACCTCGCTACTTTCTGCAAAAAATAATTCCTTTGATCTTTCGAAAAGAAATCGATTTTCTTCTTTTTGTAATAAACTGGTTGCATTTTCAGGATTTCCGTCTGTTGTAATCATTGCTCCAACTTCTAGAACTTCAGTTCCAGATGATTCATCATGGATTACTCCCATCTGAGCCGGATTTTCTAGGTTATTATTTAAATTAACTGTGCTGCTTTCTTTCGTTGGCTTCGTAATTTGTTCCAACGCTTTCCGGTCAGAAGGATTTGTATGCATTTCGTTTGCTTGTGTGCCAGTTGCTGTTGTTTGATCCATGCGGTCATCTTCACAGTCCACTGAATTTAAATCCGATTGTGGCTGATTGTCTTCAGCAGCAATAGCGTCGGAAACAACATAGCCGGCATTGGTATTAATATTCGTATTTTTGTTTTCTTGAGATACGGAGTACCTTTCATATTGTTGTAATAAAGAAGCTTGTCTTACTGGGCAGGTGATACCATTAAACAATTTTTCCAGAAAGTTATGGGCCTTATAATTCCATTCGATCTTTTGTTTGCTAAACATAATAATGTTGTATGAATGTACTTGATAATCCTTAAAACATAATTTTCTTTACCTCGATAGTTCTGAAAGCCTCTCAGCATTTCGTTGACTACAATCTTTTGAGGGTTCCGTAACGGCTAGTTCATGCTGGACGTCCTCTGACTTTATGCCTTGCTCTTCAAGCTTCGGCTCAGTGACAGCTTCCGGGACATCTAATGCGTCTTCAGGGATAGGCTCCGGTTGTAACTGAGACTGGCTTTGTGTACTCATCGGCTTGTTGATCGTTTCTTTACGGATTTCAGTTCTTTTTCTGCAATTACAATGGTTATTACACATCTAGAAAAAAAGTTCAATACTTTTGTATACCTTTTCATTAATATTTCTAATGCATTTCTGCGAACCCCTAACGTCGTTTTCCTATTCGACTCAAGGCAACTTTCCTTTCCGGTGGTACTCGTCGCCAAGCAATCTTTTTCCTGTACACAACCATTCTCATTTTTCTCTGGATAACTAAGCAATTCTTGTAGCATATTGCCGGTACATGGCTTAAATCGAAAAGCGAACTTTTCCCTCATCTCCGGTCCAGAATAGAAGCCTTTGTAGTAGTCCCGAATAACCGCATCCTTGGATTTTCCTCTATACTCAACGCACTTTTGCATTTTTTTAGCAATATAATCTAGATTGCTCAAATGACTTTTGAACACCTCTAGGGATATAGGATATAGCGGACAATCTTCGTCAGTAAAGTTAACTGTTCTTCTGGATACTCTATTTTCGTTTTCAAGTCTTGGTCTGCTGCAGTAATGAATTATTACTATTATATCTGAAAACAAGTATAGGTTTAACTTACTTCTCTTTGGCAATATTTTCAGTTGTTTGTTTCACATTCCTGGTTATAGCAAACTCGTCTTGGTTGTTTGACTGCAGGCAATTTTCCTCGCTTGGGTATTCTGTGGTACAAGCCACCCGGTAATTTGGATCGTTTGGGTTTGCCTCCTTGTTTTTCGATGGAAAACTAAGCAATTGTTTTAGCTTATTGCTTGGACATGGTTTAAATCGACAAGCGAACTTCTCCCTCATCTCTGGTCCAGAATAAAAGCCCATATAGTAATCCTGAATAACCTCCTCTTTGCTTTTTTCTTTGTACTTATCGGTTTTTTGCATCTCATTAACAATATTATCCAGATTGCTCACATGACTTTTGAACATTTCTAAAGAAATGGGATTTGGTTGACAATTTTCTGGTGCTTTTTCCGGCGCATGAGGTACCTGACATTTAGGTTCGATCGTGGTTCTTCTATTATCTTTTCGAATTATTGTTAAAAGGGCCTTCTCATCCAGCGGCTTAGCCTTTTCTGTTAGCTTAGCCAGCAACTTAAGATCAGGGCAATTAAATTTATACTTGAATCTTTGACGAACATCGTTGCGTGCATAAAATTTATTATAAAACTGACGGAAAAATTTTTTGCATTGTGGATTCGAAGGATCAGAAATTAATTTTGACAGTTGATGTTCGTCTTTAATGTGATTATTTACAAGAATTGATCGGATAATCTCGTCATAGTTAATATAATGCCGAAACGTTTCAAGAGAAACGGGAAAAATAAAGCGCCCATGTCTAAAAATTTTATGAAAATAGTTATTCAAAAGTTAAACCAAAAATAGTGATTTATATTTTTCTTACTTTTTAAGGTCCACTTCAACATCCGTCACAAAGGAGGCCCTACAATTGTTGTTTAGAAATTATGGGAACAGTGCAAGTTATGCTTACTTACTCTGGTACTTCGGAAGTATCCTTGCTCTCTTCAGGACTTGTTAGGGTCTCGTCAGAAGCTTTGGTTTTCGAAGCATTCCTCTCGGGTGTCTTGGACATGACCAGTTCAGATCCTAGTGCTACAGTATCTAACTGGGGCGCGCTGTGCGATTGTTCTTCGGCAACACTCTTGCTCTGGTGGGGTTGGACTTGGGGACTTGGAACTTTAGCTGACTTATCGGCAGCTTTGGACCTGTGCAGATCGCTTTCTGGCGATGCAGTAGCTAATGCGGGCGGACTTCTTTCGCTGCTTACATTGTTGTCATCGTTCCTGAGTTTAGATTGGTTTTGGGAAATTTCTAAGGTATTATGTGGCCACAATTGGCCTTTATTCGTGCTACTAGCTTCTGCAGCACTCTTCTCGGGAGATTTGGAGACACGCAGCTCGTGATCGGGGGTAGGAGCAGACAAGTGGGACAGACCGCCACTTGGTTCTTGGGCAAACTCCGTGCTGAGATTAGTTTGGATTTGTGAAGACTCATTGGTATTCTGAGAACTTAATGAACCTTGTCTTTCACTAATACATAAAGTCTTTGACCTGCGCGAGTCAAGTCCTGGCGAGGGATTAGCTAACTGGGGCAAGCTTTGCCTAAGCTTCTCCGCCACATCTTTGCCGAGAATGGACAGCATGCATTCCTTCATAGCAGACGTACAAGGTTTAAGTTTGTATACGTATTTATATCGTATCCTCGGAGTGATGTAAAACGCCAGGTAATAGTCTAGGGCACACTCATGGACGTCCTTGCTCGCATAATTATCGTCAAGCAGCTGCATTTGCTCCACAATGTCCGATAAGTTTGCCATATTCCTCTTAAACAGCTCGAGGCTGACGATGGAACTGCGTAATATTTATAATAAAAACTAGGCATGTGAAAAGTTCCCCATACTCACTTGTTCTTAAGGGTTTTCATTGCAGCGAGCTCAGCCATAGTCTTGATCGCTTTTTTGTCCAGCGGTTTGCCAGGTTCGAGCAACTTATTCAAAGGAATTTCAGTCGATTTATTGAAGATGTTCGTTGAAGATCGCTTTTCTGGATACATGTAAAAGCGGTTGTAGAACTTCTGCAGTGTACGACGACGACACTCATCATCGGACAGAAGGACCAGGCAGTGTTCTATGCTCCTGACAATTATTTTGAATAGTAACATTTTGTTGATGCACTTTTCGAATGCTTGAAAGGATACAGGAAAAAGAAAAGTGCCACATCTGAAATGAGTCCAAAGTGGGTAATCTGCTGTGCTTAAAAATAATCTCACCCACCTATCCACATCAACAATAACGTCGAGAGATTCCGATCCTGATGGTTCACATTCAACTGTGACGCCTTGAACTGCATCGTTGGGTTTCGCGGTTTCAGACTGGCTGCCTTGAACTAGGACGTCGGTTGCGGGTTGCTCCACTTGAGATGGTCCTGCAGTTACTACGTCTGTTATCTCGTTTTGTGGCATTGCTCCTGGCTCCGGTACTTTAAGCAAGTTGTTGCGTGTCCGCCTGGGACACGGCGCCACCTTGTATGGGAACCGTGCCCGTATGCTGGGATTCCGGTAGAACTCTTGGTAGTACCATCTGCTCCACTCGGCCACCGTTTTATTGTTTCCATTTGCAATTCTCAACTCACTTGCAATATCAGACAAATTAACGACTAACTTTTGAAATGCCGCAAAGGACACTGGATACATGTTGCTCTGAAATCAGTCATTTTATATGTGTGAAGTGTTGCAACTCTGACAAAATGATCAATCTTGTCCTTACCACTTGCTTTATAAAAGTAGGCTTATTTGTTGTCGATCGTAAACAATATCAACTTAAAAATGTAGGCGCATTCTAATACTACGAAATAAACCAGGCTGTATATTACAGTATGACCGTGCAGCAAAATTCTGAAAGTATTTATCGATAGCAAATTTATGATTGTTTCCACTAGGTGAACTTGATCTTAAGCATTTCAAAAGGCTTTAATCTATTTTCAACCCCCAAACTGCTGAAGCTATTGTATTGACATATATTCATAAACAACCTGTTTGGTTTACTACAATTTTTCAAATGAAACCCGAATTTGTAAGGTGTCTTAATATGGTATATTCATGCGGTCGCGGCGCGGTCACATTCGAGCTGCGATTCGGAAGGCTTGAAAATCATCGATGTTTACGTACATCGATAGTTGGCAGGGCTTTGCTTTGTTTTGCAAATTCCAAGCGGAGTTGAGGCTGTGACAGATTGCGGGTGCGAGCTGTGAATCAACATTGCGTCATCATCAGCTCCTGGCCAGAAAAGAGCTCAGGAAACGAGGCTGGTCCGCGCCGGGTACAGGGAAAGCCTTTAGCCACGAGGACGCAGAGGGATCAAAGGCGGAGGAGGAGGCGGTGGCCGTGTCACCGGAGCTGGAGGAAATGGCCAGCACCACTGGAAGTGCCCCCAGCCTGGCACCCCCCCAAAGCGGGAGTGGTGGATCTGGCACATTGGAGGGCACGCTAAGCAAGTGGACCAATGTGATGAAGGGCTGGCAGTACCGCTTCTTTGTATTGGACGAGAATGCTGGTCTGCTGTCCTACTACACGGTGAGTGGCTGCAGTGCACCTCCTGACTGACACCCATATCGCACCCAGAACGAATTCCACATGGCCCACAGCCTTATCTTATCTGCTCTAGATACATTGGATACACATACACACTTGTTGTTACGCTTTTATTGCGTGATTTGTGGACAGGGAATCATTTTTTTGAGTCTGGCTGAGATGTATCACTATTGCGCCGCTTCGAGACTTTATAGGCACTCCTGTAGAAATCGTAAAAGCCGTAGAACATGCCTGCAATGACGGTGGAGAAGTAGACGAGCACTAGGGGCGGCACGCCACACAATACCAGCTGGCAAACAACCTGTGTGAGGATGAGGGCGAACTGCGTCATCTGAATCACTGTGATGCACTTCTTCACTGGAGTTAGGGCCTGCACAATCTTCTTATCCGCAACTGCCGCCACAAAGTAGTACGAGTACATAATAACGTGAACAATAGAATTCAAGAACACGCTGAAGTAAGCAGCAGAACCTGCAGAATTGTACGCATTTTAAGAAGTGATCGGTCAATCTGCCGGCTAGCTTACCATTTTCGTTCAAGTTGATCAGCACATACACCAACGTAAGCGTGGAAAAGTGGTGAAAGAGGTGCAGCTTGGACACCTGGTTTTGTTTCTTGCGAAGCACAAAGATAACTGTTTCAATCAGCTCAGAAGTCTTCAGCCAGAAGAGAAAGTAGGCCAAGTTGTAGTATCGCCTTACGTAGTCCGGGCTGGTCCCGATGTCGCGGCACTTCCAAAAGCAGTATATGGTGTTGTCCGTGATGAACAGGACCTGCGGGAGAAGAGCAATTAGCCAATGCTGCTTTCATAAACTTCAAAGATCTACCTCTTTAATAACATATATGCAGGACACCACCTGGATAATGTTATGAACCAAGATCAGGCGCTTGAGCTCGTAAGGCTTGCGACACTCCATGAAACTATAAGCGAGGGATTAAAGGTCTTTTTCTTATAAATTTAGGCAAGCGGACCCGCTGTATTGCTAATGTCGAGTCCGCTGACCCGCATGCAAACAAGCGACGCAGGCATTAGCATGTGGACTTACTGCGGACCCGCTTTAGTGACGAAATATAGATAGAGGCCCAGCACTGTGATCATGTACCAGGGATCCTTGTACAACGCAGGAATGTCCACCACTGGCTGCAAATTTGGACCTGCAGATTGGAGGCATGAGGCAGTTTCCTATACTAATCCAAAAGGTCCTTACTTGCTGACACCTCCATTTTGCTTTTTGTGTTGGGCTTCCGCTGGCCTGTATCCTTCCGGTGGCGTGGGACTGGGGGACTGCAGCTCTACCGCCTCGACCGCCGGCGCACATTTAACAGTGAACAGCACGCTGACCACTGTTTTTATTTCCCAGCCAGAATTGATTAGAATTCATTAATTTGTAGCACCCCTAATAACCTGCGATTTAATGAACTTGCCTAATTCCGATTGCATTTGTGTTACAGTCGAAGGAGAAGATGATTAAAGGCGTGAGGCGCGGTTGTGTGCGCTTAAAGGATGCGCTCATCGGAATCGACGATCAGGAAGACAACACATTCACGATCACAGTGGACCACAAGACCTTCCATTTTCAGGTAAGTTCCTACGTAGTAAATGGAAATAAAGTAGTGGTAAAGTGGTTCAACAATGTCTATAGAAAGGGTTTACAATATTAATGTTGCACAGTTCTACTCCTTTATGTAATACTTCCTCCGTAGTAATCAACATTCTTGTATAAAGCAAACAAACAAGCCATTCTGAATTCAAAACTTGCATTGATTTTTTATGACGGCTATGGTATACGTAAGCAACAACTAGATCAAGAGGGCAGCACGTTCCTATTCGCGACTTCGTAGTAAAAAAAAAAACAAGCATGTTGGCCAATCCTCCAGGCAAGCAGAGTTTCCATCCTAATACCGAAAAAGGGTATCCGGGCAGCGACCCAGAAACCACTGTCTGGCCCTCACGTTCTTCCTTTTGTTTGACTTTGTTGCCTTGATGTAACGATAAAACTTTTTCCAATACCCACACACAACCAAAGGGGCCCACTAAACTTGCCAACTTTCCAAACGTTTGCAGGCGCGACACAACGAGGAGCGGGAGCAGTGGGTCCGCCGCCTGGAGGACACCATACGACGCCACGCGAACCGGTCGCGTCTGTGGGACAGCCAGAGCGCATTCTACATCGCCGGCGGCTACACGAAGGAAGTGGCCGGGAGTGGAGTAGGCAGAAGACCCAACCACCTGGAGTTGGTGGCGCGCCGTGTTTCCGAGGCAGATGCCTACCTCCAGCTGATGATTGAGCAAACGAACGTGAGTATAGTGCCACGTAATGCAGGCATTATGCAATTTATTGTCATTTTTGCTCTTTCTATGTTCTGCCCAGTTGCTGGACAAACGCATCGCGGAGCTGACCGATCCGGCGGAGCAGTCGAAGTGCAAGGCACTCCAGGACAACGCAAATGTGAGTAGACAGCGGTTACTTCTGTCCCTGTGACTCAGTAACTAGAATCTCCAGGTGCAGCTCGTCACGAAAGTTGTTTGAGAGTTTCTCCACTACGGCGTACGTCAGACGCCAGTAGCTTTCGTCGACTGTCATGTAATAGTCCGCGTCCTGGTTTTTATTAACCTTTCGAACACCCAGAGCACAGACGGTTTTTGCTGCAATATCTCTTCCGTAAAGAGTGAGCGTAACGTTCAGCTGCATTTCGTCGCTGGGTGTGACCAGCCAGAGCACGAACTCGCTGTTTCTCTGGCTATCTGGTAAACGCCTATCGTGCAGAGCCGCATAAGGAGATGTCCGACACATTAGCACCACCAACGGGATGTGACCTTCCAGGTGCGAGTGCTGCTTCAGCAGAATGCTGTTATTGGGTTCACATTGCCGCCGGGATATCAATAACTGTTGTGCATTGTAAGCCAGAAGGCCCAACACCTGATTATCATGAGGCTTGCAGCTCTTCGGCTTGAAAGAAAGCACAACCCGTTCATCTTTCACTACGGGAAGGCAGCGCTGGAAGGAAGCTTCCTTGCTATGATCACAGAGGTAGTGGAGCAAAAGCAACTGACTGTCTATTCGCCTTTGGCAGCCCTCAAACAGACAACTTTTTACCTCGCACTTTATCATAATCTGGTTGGGGATGGTACCTTCGTCCTTTATAGGGACTGGAATTTCATCTGGAGGAGCAGCCTCAATCGTACCAAACATCGACTGAGACATTAGCTTTCCTTGATGCGACTGAAACTTCTGCTGGTCATCCAGCTGTTGCATTCCCACACGAAGTGTTTCCATATTCATGTTGAGCTCCTTAATATCGTCTTCCAAATTGAACTTGGTCTTCAGCTTGTTCTGCAGCTCCGAGTGCTCTTCTTCACGGTTCTTTTTATACTCTTCGAATTGTGCGCACAACTTGTCGATGCTGTGGAGCTCTGGGTCCAGGAAGTCCATTGCAGATTAACGTTATTGTAGTTTTTAAATTTGAAATGTAATTCAATTTGCCGGCAGTGCTGGGAATTTAGAGAATTCGGTTGCAGGATTGTGTGTTTGTTATCCCAGTGAAGTTTGTCGTGCGAAACGTATTACTAGGCCCACTGGGCCACCCACTTATATCGATTACCAATGCAAGTTCAGGGTTAAGAGGCGACCAGATGCAAAGGCCTGAGAGAATGTCAATCGACCGGCAGCTGGCCACTTATGGCAGCTGCTCACTTCCTTTGCAAACTTTGGCAAAGCCATACCACTTTTTTCCCCACTCCTGTTGGCTAATCCATAGTTCTCATTTCAGGCCATGCTGGATCACATTAAACACTCGATTGTCAGCCTGCAGATTGCCAAAAACATGGCCCACCCCATAAATGGAATCTACAACGGCCCACCGGCCACTGCATCGACTAGTTCCTCGACCAGTGGAGTTGCCATGGGCAGTTGTAACAACATACAGGCAGGTGGCCTAAAGCTGCCCCTGGAGGGTCAAGTGATAGGCAAGGGGGAGCTGGTCGACGACGAGGAAGACTCGGCCACTGAGAACGGTGAGTGCTCTTGGCCAAGCAACTGGTCATCGAGCCAGGGTCAAGCTGTTCGAAATCAATGCGAAAGCTCAATTTGCATTAACCCCGATAATCTGGCATTAATCTTGGCAGCCACCACCGCTCCTTTGGGTTTGGTTGTGCCAGAGACCTCCTACTCGAGCAGCGAGGGCGAGGAGGACTTCTACGATGCCTACGACGATCCCTTCACCAGCCTTGGCAGCTCCCCGATTGGCTGGTAAGTGGACCACTTGCAGGTCTTACAAGTAGCAACTAAGACTGCCCTTTGACGAAGTGCGCCGACCGGCCATTAATCAAATGCGATGCGGCAGCCGGCAAGCATGCTTTTTAAGTGTGATATGTGCTGCGTGCTAATATTACGCATTCATTGCCCCAGTCCGGAACCGCTGCTCCGGCACTGCTTCTCCTCCTTCTCCTTTGAAAAGGCGCATGCGCCTAAGCAACGCATGCAAAATGCAATGCCCGAAGTTCGTCGCAGTCGTAGTTTCAGGGCAGCCTGTAATTTTTGTCAAGTCGCGTGTAAATAATAAATACAAAACCTTCTCCTCCGCCACATCTGGCTCTCGTCGAAGCTTTGTTGGCACAGCTGACACCGCTTTGTCGTCGGCTACTTGCTTCGTCATCGACATCCTTCGGCCTAGTCGTAGTTAAAGTCGCCATTGTGTATGTCTGTCAGTTCTAGTTTCGTTCGTCATCGCCTCGCAGTGTCAAAGAGCTCCGTTGGGTGCAAGTGGCACCCCTCGGCTCTCAGTTGGATTTTTCAGTAGTTTTTCTGTTTTCCAGTAATGGCCTAGACCATTCGGCGGCTTTTGTCTACGCTTCGATTCAGGAGCTTCCGCTTTATGACTACAATTATGTAGCTGCTGGGTCTGCAGTAACGAATACGGCCAGCATCAGCACCTGAAATCATGTTTAAGAAGTGGGTCCGACGTGTCAGCCTGAGGTACAGTATAAAATGTACATGTGCGCCAGGTCGACGTAAGTGTTTCCCTCATAAATTGTAAATGAAGGCAGCAACTAAGGTGGAAAAGAAGACGGATGCGGGTTGCAGATGCTGTTGTGCCTCGTGGCATACGCACATTATGCTTAAAGATTTATCCAAGATGTCGCAGGAATCCTAATCAACAAGTCCTGATTCCACTCTCACTTTTCATTGAACAGCGCAACGCGCGGCTTTGCGGAAACCACATCCCCCACCCACGAAAAGGGACCGGATGGATTTGCCAATGCCGAGCCAGTGTCTCTGGGCGATTCAGTTCCCCCCCAAACGCTGCCAGAGATCGATGAAAGCGTTGCCGATGCGGATACCAGCATTAAGACAGCGAGGACAGCAGTAAGTTCCGGCAGTGCCAGCTATGATAATGGAATAGACTACGACGCCTTGTACGAGGAGGAGGAAGAGACGGACCTTAGTATGGAGGCGCACGGATCGATGATCACGCACTTGTTGTCCCAGGTTAAAATCGGCATGGACCTCACGAAGGTGGTACTGCCTACGTTTATTCTGGAGCGCCGCTCGCTGCTGGAGATGTACGCCGATTACTTTGCTCATCCCGATCTGTTCATAAAGTATGTTTTCAAGGCGTTTACATTAATAATATAACTCATAAGCATCTTACCCAACAGAATATCGGATTTGGACGATCCGCGCGACAGAATCGTCCAGGTCTGCCGCTGGTATATGAGTGCTTACCATGCTGGGCGTAAAAGTGCAGTAGCCAAGAAGCCGTACAATCCCATTTTGGGGGAAGTTTTTCAGTGCCATTGGGACATTCCTGGTAGGAATTGCAAACTGTTTAGCTACTGTTGACCAGCTCTCACGTGTTTTTCCTTAATATTAGGGATATCCCAAGACGCTCAGGAGGTACGCGACGGTCCAGTGCCTTGGTGCCGGCGGGATCAACTCACCTTTCTAGCTGAGCAAGTGTCTCACCATCCGCCAAGTAATACAAAAAAACAAAACTTTCCTATGTTTATTGCTCACGCATTTATTTGTTTCAGTTTCTGCCTTTTATGCGGAGCATTACAATAAAAAAATAACATTTGCGGCACACGTCTGGACCAAGTCGAAGTTCTTGGGGCTCTCCATTGGAGTGCATAACATTGGTGAAGGCGTTGTGACCCTGGTGGATCGCAGCGAGGAGTACATAGTGACCTTCCCCAACGGCTACGGCAGGTGAGAAGGTGCCTCTGCTATTTCTGGTTTCAGAAAACTTATGAATATTTATATTTCCATTAACTAGGTCTATTTTAACGGTGCCTTGGATTGAGCTCGGCGGTTCGGTGGAGATCAAGTGCCCGCAGTCTGGATACTATGCCAACGTGGAGTTCCTCACCAAGCCTTTCTATGGCGGCAAACGGAATAGGGTCTCTGCAGAGGTGACTAGCTTATAGTGTGCACCTTGATTTTGTATTAATTCGGATTAATCGTAGGTGTATGCGCCCAGCGAAAAGAAGCCTTTCGTCTCTATTTCCGGCGAGTGGAGCGGTTTGATGGAGGCTAAGTGGCATGACAAAAACGTAAGTCATCCAAAATTATTTTTGGTTTATGTTTGTAGTGTACTATTATATATGTATAGTTTCTGTAAATGTTGATCCTTTACTTGTACTTTTTCCTCCGCATACTGCGCCAAAACGCTGCAACAAACAACCCCACGAGTTGGCAGCCACATCCACCCTCCACACCCCACCTAGACCTCTACTTACTATCCACGATTCTTCTGCTTTTCTCTTAAATAGCTCGGGAGCATTTCCTCTGTGTGTTTACTTTGTTTGTCTAGAAAATCGAACCCACAAAATAATCCTATGCCTGATTGTCCAACGTTGTATTCAAATTGTTGCTATCTGTACTTATGTATATGTATGATTGTTGTGTGTTCAGTATTACACCCAATCCCAATCAGTTTTACCACATAGTGAACCTGAATGAATCTCTTAAATTTTCTAGAAAACCGAAGTATTCGTCGACGTAAATCGCATACCCATATTTAAGAAACAAGTTCGACCAATCGTTGAGCAGGATGAGTACGAATCGCGACGCGTTTGGAAGGAAGTGACAGCGGGACTCAAGTAAACAGCATACCAATCTGCCAATTAATCTCTGACCCTCAATTGCAAGGCTTAAAATTGTAATCTCCTTGTTCGTTGCTCTTCCGCAGGTTCAATGACATCGAGCGCGCTACAACTGCCAAATTCGTTGTGGAGCAACAGCAGCGCGATCAAGCCAAGGTGCGCAAGGAATACGATCTGGCCTGGGAGCACAAGGTACATCACTCCGATATAATGCAAATCAGTTAACAGATAATATTGCTCCACAGCACTTTAAGCCCGTGGGCGACAACTGGATCTACGCCAAACCGCTGAGTCAGCGCATGTATTTGCAGGAGAAAGAGGCCAAGAGATAATGCCTCCGACTGACATCGAGAGCAACAACACCAAAAACGTCTATTTATATGGATCATATCAAGAACGAGCCTCAACTATATGTTTAATTCCACAAGTGCGCAAACCTCTCAACACTGACGATACGACGTAACGAATGCAGGAAAAGCTAGAGCAACAACTAGAAGAAGGAGGTCCATGATGGAGCCTTCAGGGTCTGGTTATTAATTGTAAATAATATACACAGAGAAAATGAAAAAAAAGCTCTGCTCATAAGGTTGGAACGCAAGTTCAGCTCGACAGCTCAGCGGAGACAGTAAAATCAAACACTCACAGTTTCTATACACAATTAACGATTATTATTTACTACTAAGTACTAGTGTGTTTCAAAGGCAATCGCAGTAAACTGCAACACAATGACACCTATTCAATACCTTTTACATTACTAACATTTACTAGCAACAAAGAAAGAAAGAAATCCAATACATAATGGGATATATCAAAAGTTGTAGATTACGAAATGATAGTTATTTAAGGATAGAGATTCTATTTTTGAAATAAAAGACTCTGCTATAGACAAAATACAATACCGACACACTAGTATCCGACAGATACTACCCCTTCGCTTGTTTCCCAGACCCCAATAGACCCACGGACATTTAAAACAAGGTGCACAATGATTTTTCGGTCGCATAGTTTATTAATTAAATACGATTACCTTTAGTATTATGTTTCGAATTCCACTTGTCACAATAAATAAAGCTTTACTAACAGTCCGATGCTGATACACCTTTATACCTTACTGTAATAAAACGCAATTGCAACCCAAATCTCCAGAATAATTTAAAAGTAAACTTTAAATTTAATTTACAACTTACGAGCCAGGAAGCAACACAACCCACACAGCAAATCTACCGACTACTCTCACGCAAAGTTAACGCAAAATGAAACGAATAAAGTAAATACGCTTCGAAATTGATTTAAAGTAATATTTAACGAACTAGTTACCCCGTAGAATAAACGAATTGTAATCCCGAGGGCTTTAATTGGAACTTATATCCAAGCCCGGGTGTAACATGTATATATTTTTTTGCGATTTTCTTTTAAACCAACGTTTTAATCAAGAACTTGAACAAATACCCCA